TATGTCTGCTGCTCACTCGATCGTCGATGTAACTGCAATTCATCCTTGCTTCTCACTCGATCGTCCCACTCGATCGTGTGCATGTCGAGTAACGCTTGTTCCTCTGCTTCGCTCTGCATGTCTCCTAAGTACCTGAAACACTCCAAATATGCACAATGTATGCAAGATATGCATGATATGCATGATATGCATAAAACCTACCTAAGTATGTAAAACATGCAGAAAGGGATCAATATGATGCGAATCAACAAGTGAATGATGCTGAATAGATGATGAATGCATACTCAAAAAGCAATGAAATACAGACTTATCATGTACTATATTCCGGATCTCAAAAGCAACATCATTAGTTTGGGGCAAGCTACAGAATCTGGATGCGACATTAGGATGAAAGAAAACTATCTTACATTGTGTGATCAAGGTGGAAACCTTGTGAAAGCAAATAGATCAAGAAACAGGTTATACAAAGTGAAGAGTGAAGTTGATAGTTCTAAGTGTCTACTTGCTACTTCAAACAATCCAAACATGTGGCATGCTCGGCTATGCCACATCAATATTGAAACCATAAGAGCAATGGTGACAAAGAATTTGGTGACCGGAATGACGAGTATACCTAAGGAGAAGGAAACATGTCAATCGTGTTTACTTGGTAAACATACTAAAAGAATTTTTCCAAAGGCAACTTCCTTTCGTGCATCACAAGTGCTAGAGCTTGTTCATGGAGATCTTTGCGGACCAATCTCACCCTCCACTGCTGCGAACAAGAGGTACATCTTTGTGTTAATTGATGATCATTCAAGATATATGTGGACAATTCTTTTGAAGGAAAAGAGCGAGGCATTTGGAAAATTCAAAAATTTCAAAATGTTAGTAGAACAAGAATCCGGTGCTGCGTTTAAAACATTCAGAACTGACAGAGGGGGAGAATTTATTTCTGAAGAGTTTAGAATTTTTTGTGAGAAAAAGGCATCAACAGACATCTTACTGCTCCCTATACACCTCAACAAAATGGAGTTGTTGAGAGAAGAAACAGAACCTTGCTAGAGATGACTCGGAGTGTGTTAAAGCATATGAGTATGCCCAATTATCTATGGGGAGAAGCTGTTCGTCATGCAACCTATATCATTAATCGAGTGGGAACAAGAGTTTTGGAGATCTCACACCCTATGAAGCATTCAAAAACAAGAAACCCAACATCGAGCATCGACGTGTATTTGGTTGTATCAGCTATGCTAAAGTTGAATCACCACATCTCAAAAAGCTTGATGATAGATCTCGAATGCTGGTGTATCTCGGAACAAAACCAGGCTCAAAGGCATATCGACGCCTAGATCCAACAACTCGGAGAATCATAGTAAGCAGAGACGTCGTGTTTGATGAGCAAAAGGGCTGGAAGTGGAATATCTCACAAGGGCTGTCGACTGAAGCAGGAAGTTTCACCTTTAGTTTTGAAGAATTCGGAAATCATGGTATTAGTAGAAATGATGCTAGTGAAGAAACAGAAGAACTCGAAGAAACAGAGGAGAACAGAGAAGTTAATCACAACAGCGAGAATAATGAAAATGTTGTTGATGAACTAGACATTGAAGAAGAACGAGAAAGTGAGGAAGAGCAAGATGAATCAGAGATACCAGCTCAAAGACAAGTCAGACCACAAGCAGAACTAAAAGGAGAAAATCTTCTATTATCAATCAATGAAGAACCATCATGTTTTAAAGAAGCAAGTGAACTTAAAATTTGGCGAGATGCGTGTGAAGAAGAGATTAGTTCTATAACAAAGAACAAGTCATGGAGCTTAGTGGACTTGCCCTTTGGAGTTAAACCAACTGGGTTAAAATTGGTGTTCAAGATCAAAAGAAATTCAGACAACAACATAAACAAATACAAAGCAAGACTTGTGGCTAAGGGATATGTACAAAGACATGGAATAGAATTTGATGAGGTGTTTGCACCAGTTGCTCGTATTGAAACAATCTGATTCATCATAGCAATAGCAGCATCAAATGGTTGGGAAGTGCATCATCTTGATGTTAAGACTGCTTTTCTTCATGGAGACTTAAAAGAGAATGTCTATGTCTCTCAACCAGAAGGTTTTGTAACTAAAGATAGTGAGGAAAAGGTCTACAAGCTTCATAAGGCCCTTTATGGACTAAACCAAGCACCTAAAGCATGGAACATCAAACTCAATAGCATCCTTGGAGAATTAAACTTTGTGCGGTGCTCTAAGGAACCATCCCTGTACCGTAAGCAAATTACAGAGCATGATTTGCTTATTGTTGTTGTTTATGTGGATGATCTCCTCATCACAGGTTCTAAATTGGATTTGATTGTTGCTTTTAAGAACAGGATGGCAGGAAAGTTTGAGATGAGTGATCTAGGACGGCTCACTTATTATCTTGGTATCGAGGTTCTTCAAGGGCAAGATGGAATAACTCAAGAAAGGTATGCAAGGAAGATTTTAGAAGAAACAGGTATGAGCAAATGCAATAGTATTCTCATTCCAATGGAACCCGGTCTGGAACTTTAAAAAAACAGAGACCCAAAAAGAATTGATGAACAACGTTATCGTCGTAGCATTGGATGTCTCAGGTATCTTCTTCATACTAGACCTGACTTGTCTTACCCTGTAGGAATTCTGAGTCGTTACTTGCAGGAACCACGAGAATCGCATGGAACTGCTTTGAAACAGGTGCTAAGATATCTTCAGGGAACGCTTACTCATGGATTGATCTTTAAGAATGGAACACAATTGGGTTTAATTGGTTACAGTGACAGTAGCCATAGTGTGGACGTTGATGATGGAAAAAGTACTGCATATCATGTCTTCTACTTTAATAACTGTCCTTTTACTTGGTGTTCACAGAAACAACAGGTTGTGGCATTATCATCTTGTGAGGAAGAGTTCATGGCTGCAACAAAGGCTGCTAAACAAGCCATTTGGTTACAAGATTTGTTTGTTGAGATTACTGGCTCAACATGTGAGAAGGTGACCATACAAGTTGATAACAAACGGCTATTGCTCTCACCAAGAATCCGGTCTTCCATGGACGTAGCAAACATATACATCGAAGATATCACTTCATTTCGGAATGTGTTGAAAATGGCCAAGTTGAGGTGATACATGTTCCAGGGATTGAACAAAGGGCTGACATTTTAACCAAGGTACTTAGCAAAAGCAAGTTCAAGGACATAAGAGACCACATTGGAGTGCATTGTTTGTCTAAAAAGGACTTCAAGCTTAAAGGGGTGATTGTTGGGATAAGCTTGAAGAAGAAAGCTTGAGAAGCAAGTTATCTATTCCAAGTCAAGTTAGGATTATGCATAGTTGGTGTTTGGTGTTATCTAGTTACAAGTTCTACTTGTAATAGGTTTTAATTTCTCTCTATATATATTAGTTACCAATGATGTGGTTAACCTTAAGAGATTAGAGAGAAAGGTTTTAAGAAGCTTTGTTTTGATTAATTTTCAAAGCTAATAAAAGAAGTGCTTTTATAATCTTGAGTCTTTCTTTCTAAATTCTAGACCCTCTCTCTCACAACAACTAATACATATCCTTTCTCCTAATATTAAATAGTAAAGGTGCCAAATATCACATTACTATCTAAAAACTGTCCCGGCAAGGAAAATAATGATGGCGACAGGAGGGTTTAGGGTTTCAGGAGATTAAGACACGGCTATGATGGATTTTACGTCGAAAGGGCCGCCGCCCGGGGATCCTCTGGATAGAGTGGACTCGTGGGCGGCCAAGGTCTAGCGAAGGAGTGAAGGGGGATGCTAGTCCCCTAGGAGGTTTTGGAGCCGAGTTTTGTGTCGGCACGGATGAAAGTTAACTATCCGGATGGTGTTAATGGAGAACCTGTGTTTACGATTGTGGAGGAGGTGACTGAGGCGATGCATGGGCTGTGGAAGCAATGTATGATCGTAAAAGTTTTGGGGAGGAATGTGCCAATCCTGGTGTTGAGTAGGAAGTTAAGGGAGCTATGGAAACCAAAAGGGGCGATGTATGTGACAAATTTACCACGGCAGTTCTTCATGGTGAGATTCGAAGTAGAGGAGGAGTACTTGACGGCTTTGACAGGGGGTCCATGGAAGGCGTTCGGGAGCTATCTTATGGTCCGCGCATGGTCGCCTCATTTTGAACCGTCTAGAGACGATATTACCACGATTCCAGTATGGGTGCGTTTTTCAAACCTCCCGGTGGCGCTTTATCATCAGACTATATTGTTGGGGTTAGCACAAGCGTTAGGTAAACCTCTGAGGGTGGACGCAAACACGTTAAATTTTGAGAGGCCTAGATTTGCTAGGGTGTGTGTCGAAGTGGATCTCAGCCAACCTCTAAAACGCTCATTCATGGTAAATGGAGAACGGTATTTTGTGTTCTATGAAGGATTAACGAGTATTTGCTCGGGTTGTGAGATATTCGGGCATATGGTCCATGCATGTCCTAAGGTGAAACCGGTCGCGGAGAGTGTGGGAGCGCAAGGATCACCGGTTGGACCTAATAAGGCCTCGCCAAGTTTGCCGGTCAGGGATGGTTTCACGATGGTCCGTCGGGAGAATAGGAGAGCGGGTTCCTCCACAAGGACGGTGATATCTGTTCCGGGATCTAAGGGGGAGACTTTGGAAAGAAATCAGAGGGAGATATCGGGGAATAAGGGAAACGGTACAATTTTGGTATCTAATAGTTTTGCGGGATTGGTGGAGAAGGGTGTGCAGCCGCAAGCTACGAAAGTCATTAGTTCTGAAGGGGGGAATAAGGAAAATGAGATAATTGGGGTTTCACAAAATACTGAGAAGAATATTTTTAAAGTTATCAAAGGAAAGTTTGAGAGGGGAGCCAGAGAGAGTAAGAAAGGCGCTAATGTGATTTTGAAGGAGAAGAAGGTGGGCTTGAATAGGCCTGGAGTTGCGAATAGATCGAGATTTTAATTCAACAACCGGCCCACCAGAGGTTATTTATTTGGCCCAACAAGTGAGGAAGTCGAGTTGTCGAGTTGTCGATGTCGGGGAAAAGACTTAGAATGGAGGGGAATGTTGTTGGCCGGAGAGGGGGAAATGCAGAACTAAGTAATGTGGAGTTAGCGGAATCTCGCGTGGGTGGGCAAGAGAGTGTTACGGTTCCAGCGTCCTTTATGGTCAAGCGTGAACCTCACATAGCTTTGGCTAAGAGTGCTCTGCGCACAGTTTCCGGCGAGCAAGAAATGCAGTTAGTGGTGGCATAACAGCATCCCTTGGTGGTTCAATTGAGCTTAATTTTAAGTATGATGATGAATTTAATATTTTGGAATTGCCGGGGGCGAATAAACCTGACTTTCGAAGAGCTATACGATATATGCTGAAAAAGAATAAGGCGCAGATTTTAGCTTTATTTAAGACTCATGCGGGTGGAGACAGAGCGAGAAGAATCTGCCAAGGTTTGGGCTTTGAAAATTTATTTTGTGTTGACGCGAATGGATAAAGTGGTGGTTATTATGGCAGTCGAGTATTAGAATTGTTAAGATTGTAGAAAAATCAGACCAATTTATCCATGCGATTGTTGGAGAGGGTGGTGAGGATCCGTTTCATTTATTGGTGGTGTACGCGGCTCCAACTATTAGTCGGAGGAGCGGGTTGTGGGATAAGTTGAAAGATGTGTTATGTGGGATTGACGAGCCCGTGCTGGTTGGCGGGGACTTCAATACAATCTTACGTTTGGATGAGCGGACGGGAGGCAATGGTCGGCTGTCTTTAGACTCTCTAGCGTTTGGTGATTGGATAAGTGATACCTCTTTAATTGATATGGGTTTTAGAGGTAATAATTATACTTGGAGGAGAGGGCGTGTTCTGAGTACTTATATCGCAAAACGGCTTGACAGGGTTATGTGTAATGCGGCCATGAGGCTGAAATGGCAAGAGGCTTCAGTGACTCATCTTCTTTTTTTGGCCTCGGATCATCCCCCTCTATATGTTCAGCTATGTCCGACAGTGGAAGGCAATCCAAAACAAAGACCCTTTCGTTTTGAGGCGGCTTGGTTAAAGCATGATAGCTTCAAGGAAATGTTGGAGAACTCCTGGAATAACCAACTTTCGACCCCGGAAGCATTCGAAAGAAACACTCGCTTATTTCACACATCAACTATTATTAGGAGAAGACGTAATCGAATTGATATGCTAAAGAATGAAGATGGAGAGTGCAGATACACAAGAGCTTGAAAATTTGGCTGTTGCGTATTATAAACGTCTTTAATGTAAGTCGGGACATGAAGATGCTCATCACAGATGAGAGTGGGATTGGATCGACGAAATATCTTGGCAAATATCTCGATATGCCGGTGTTGCATAAGAGGTTATATAAGGAGGCATACGGTGAAATTCTATAGCGAGTTACTTCTAGGTTATCATGATGGAAAAGCCACTGTTTGAGCTTTGCCGGAAGACTAACTATGACTAAGGCAGTGCTTACGTCAATCCTAGTGCATGCTATGAGTACCATTGCCTTACCTAAATCAGTTATTGATGAACTTGAGAAATCGTCGAGGAACTTCTAATGGGGAAGTCAGGATGAGAAGCGACGGCAACATTTATTAAGTTGGGACAGTGTTTGTCCCCCAATGGGACATGGAGATTTGGGAATTAAGTCGGCAAATGAGATGAATAAAGCCTTACTCGCAAAAGTTGGATGGAGATTACTACATGACAAAACGAGTCTTTGGTCTCGGGTTCTTCGTAGTAAGTATAAAGTTGGCAACATTAAAGACCCTCGCTGGTTGGTTGTGAAGAGTAAGTGGTCACCTACATGGAGAAGTGTTGGTGTGGGTTTGAAAGAAGTGGTGATCCCAGGAATAAACGTCTTTTCCTTGGTTATCCGGTTCGCCACTCGCAGAGAAAAGCATAAGAATTTTACCCGCCGGACATGAGCTGCTTCGTGCTTGTGATTTGTGGCGGGAAGGACGAGCCTTATGTTACAAAGGAGTGTAGCCTACAAATGAGATCAGTGGTTATTGACGGTGTGACTGGGGTGAAGGACATAATATCATGGGGAGGCACCCAAGATGGCAAGTTTACAGTCCGCTCCGCTTATGCCTTCTTGACATGCGATAATAGCGTACGACCGGATCTTAGTGCCTTGTTTTCCCGATTTTGGAAGGCGATGGTTCCAGAGAGGGTTCGTGTTTTTCTATGGTTAAGCATGAATCAAGTATTGATGACAAATATGGAGAGGATGAGGAGACATTTATGTGGCTCGGGACTGTGCCAAGTTTGTAAAGGGGAGAGGAGTCTATTATTCATATTCTAAGGGACTGCCCTGCGATGAGTGGAGTTTGGAACCGACTTCTAAAGCCTAATAACCGACGGGAGTTTTTTGAGCAACCGTTACTTGTGTGGCTTTATACAAACTTGGGGGACCACTCGAATACTGGTGATAGTATTTGGTCAACCATGTTTGCGATGACGGTTTGGTGGGGGTGAAAAAGGAGATGTGGGAACGTGTTTGGGTCTAACCAGAAGTGTCAGGACCGGGTTAAATTTTTGAAGGATTTAGCTATGGAGGTGACTTGCGCGAATTAAAGGATTTCGGCTCAAATATGTTCCCGGGGAGAGAGAGTGGAGCGGCTAGTTTCTTGGAAAAAGCCGGCTAGTGGTTGGATGCGGCTAAATACGGATGGAGTTCTAGGGGAAATCCGGGTTTGGCATCAGCGGGAGGGGTACTACGGAACGAGGAAGGACAATGGTGTGGGGGGTTTGCTCTAAACATTGGGATTTGTTCAGCTCCTTTGGTGGAACTCTGGGTTTGTACAATGGGTTGTATATTGCCTGGGAGCACCGTGTGAGGAGGTTGGAGATTGAGGTGGATTCGGAGATAGTTGTGGGATTTCTTAAGACAGGGATTAGTGAGACTCATCCGCTGTCGTTCCTGGTACGTTTGTGCCATGGCGTTATATCAAATGACTGGATAGTCCGTGTGTCGCATGTGTATAGGGAAGCTAATCGTCTCGCAGATGGATTAGCGAACTATGCTTTTTCTTTACCATTGGGTTTTCATCCATTTGCGTAGGTGCCGGAACTAGTTAATGACATTTTTTTGGAGGACGTTCGGGGAAGCATGTTTCCTCGACAAGTCCGGTTGTAATGGTTTTAAGTTTGTTTTAATAAATTTCGAGCCTTTTACCAAAAAAAATAAAAAATCTAAAAACTGTCCCAACCACCAATTCACCCAAAAAAAGATGAAAATCGGCTTCCTCGAACCAATATAAATAAAATATGTTGAATTAATATATTAAATTTATACGAATACTAAATTATATATGCATTTTTCATAAATTTTAATTTTAAATATGAAATTAACTTCTTGTGTCAATATGTGAAGTCTTGATATGTATAATCCACGTATGCAGAGAGGACCTAAACAACATCGTAAAATTTATTGTTATAAACTAGGTTCAAATCGGAACAAATTCTAGTTGGCTCTCAAAGCTCAAATTTTATTCTCAAATGCTCCTCTTCTAAAATTTAATTTAATTTTGATATAAAACTATTCAAAAAAGAGATAAATACTTTTGAACCCCTTATACTTTGGAATTATTATTGACCCCACCAACTAAAAAGGGTTTAAAAGCCCCAGTCGTTCTAATGTCGGTTCAAACTTTTTTGAAATCCATAAATCCCCAAATCAAAAGAAAAAATCATCTTTGTTTTTTTTTTTCGTTCGAGTCTCGTTCGTAGACAATACACTAGTAAGAAACTCAGGGAACTCTTCATCTTCACCTTTTTATTGTACGCCGGTACAGCTAGAGACAACTTGTGGATTTGTAAGTTGAACACAATATATTATTTTTTATTTTGTAACTAGTTTAGTTTCGGAAATCGATTTGAAACGATTATGATTGCTTTTCTCAATTTTGTTGCTTTTTTACGGAGAATTTAAAGATGCTTGCTATGCATTAGGATTATTGGATGAAGACAAAGAATATATTTCAGCCATAGAAGAAGCAAGTTTATGGTGTCATTGGAGGTACTTAAGGAAGCTATTTGTGATGCTATTGATTTCAAAGAGTGTATTTGTTCCGCTTAATCTTTGGCTAGAGATATATTATGCGAAGATAATTTATTCCTCCATAGAAACCGCATGAATGATCAAGGTACATCGAGATCTTATTAAAAATTTTATAAATTATTTGGTCTATTGTTTATGTATGTCTTTATAAGAGAATATTTATAATCATCCATATAAATAATTCTTGGTATAAAAGTTATTAATTCTATTATAAAAATTGAAATGCAGGTATTATGTTAACACAAGCTCAAATACGGAACATATGTTTGTCGGAAATCGAATTGCTAATGCGTTCGAATGGCACTTCCCTTTCTTTTTTCACTAATATGCCAACACCAGACGATAGTGTGATAAATCCTAATGAAAATAGGCTTATTATGGATGAGAAAAACTATAAGCCTCATGAACAAAAGACAGAATACAACAGACTGTTTGCTATGTTAACTGAAGAGCAAAGACGTGTTTATCAAGAGATAATTTACTCGGTAAATCAAAACAAGGGTCGTATGTTTTTTGTGCATGGATTTGGTGGTACTGGAAAAACTTTCTTGTGGAGTATTCTTGGAGCTGATATTCGATCAAAATGTAATATTGTTCTAAACGTTGCATCGAGTGGAATAGCTGCTTTGCTGTTGGAAGGTGGTAGGACAGCTCATTCTAGGTTTTATATACCTATCAATATAAACGAATATTTAATGTGTTCGATCGATGCAGAGTCCGATCTAGCAGAATTGATTAGAGAAGCGAAGCTCATTATATAGGACGAGGCTCCGATGATGAACAGGCATTGTTTTGAAACGTTGGATAGGACTCTGCAAGATATAACGAAGTGTAATAGGATTTTTGGAGGTAAGGTAGTTGTCTTAGGAGGTGATTTTAGACAGATTCTCCTAGTAATTCCTGAAGGTGGTAGGGTCGCAACAGTTTTGGCCTCTATAAACTCATCGTTGCTTTGGCAAAGTTGTAAAGTTTTGAAGCTTACAGAAAATATGTGCTTACGAAAAGGTGTTAATAATGAGCAATCAGATGCTCTCGCCGAGTTCTCAAAGTGGCTTTTGGATATTGGTGATGGGAAAATCAACGAGCCAAATGATGGCGAGGTCGAAATAGAAATACCCGAAGATTTACTAATAACATTATCTGAGGATCCTATCCACGCAATTGTTCATGAAATCTATGGTAATTCTTTCGCTAAAGAGAAGGACCCAAAATTCTTTAAGCGAAGAGCTATTCTTAGTCCAAGGAACGAAGACGTTGATAAAATCAATCAATATATGCTTTCTCAACTACCAGGTGTGTATTATAATTGTTTACGTGTATTTAATTCTATACTTTTTGAAAAAAATTAAGTATAGTAGATTACCTGGGTATTATACATATTTAATAATATTATTATAGGTGCAGAAAGACGTTATCTTAGTTCAGATTCCATTGAAACATTGGATACGAGTGTATTCGACGATATGGTCTACTCGCAGGAATTTTTAAACAATATAAACGTTTCTGGATTACCTAAGCATGAATTAACATTGAAGAAGGGAGCCCCTATCATGTTGCTAAGGAATATAGATCTTAAAGGTGGTTTGTGCAATGGTACGAGGTTAATTGTAACTCAGATGGCTAATCATGTTATAGAGGCAAGAATCGTAACAGGTAACGGTGTTAATGAAAAAGTACTTGTCCCAAGAATGTTTGTCTCTCCGCCAGATGCAAAGTTTCCTTTCCGTATGTGGCGTCGCCAATTTCCTATAGCTCTTGCGTATGCAATTACTATTAACAAAAGCGAAGGTCAAACTTATGAATACGGTGGATTGTTTTTACCAAAGCCAGTCTTTACACATGGACAACTATATGTTGCACTATCTAGAGTGACGACGAGAAAAGGATTGAAGATTTTGATTACGAATGAAGATGGTGCATGTCAAAACAAGACCCTAAACGTAGTTTTTAAAGATTTTTTTGATAACATTTAATTACGTATCAAGTTGTTGCATCTCCAGTTTTACGTGCTTTACTTTTCATGCAAGAATAAGTATTATCATGCATCCACTTTTTTGGTTGCTTTCTTGAATAATTTCTCTTTATATAGTTAATCTTTTCAATTTTTAATCGAATAAACCTAATGTATTTTCTAAATAAATTCTCTAATTCTTATAGTCGCTACTTAAAAAAATGCATTACAACTAAAGAATTAGATTGAAGATGTAAAAGTTTCTTTATAATTAGGAAATAGAGTATGATAATTTTAAAATATATGAAGATGTAATTTCGAAAGTTTTAATAGTAGCTTACATTGTTATTTTTTTTAATTGATACTTTGACAAACTGTAAAAAACACTTGGATCTCTTTTTTAACGTGTTTACCTTTCCATACACGAATAAGCATTACCATGCATCCTCTTAAGATGTTTGTTTTTGTTTCCAAACTTGAATAAGAATGCTATTGCATTTACTTTGTTGTTGTTTTAAATTTTAAATCTAACAAACTATTGATTTTTGATTTTAAAAAATGATACTTAATCAAATTACAAATCTGTTAGCTAATTTAAAATTGTTAATCCATTAACCGATGAATTTAATGTAGGTAATATATTTGGAAATTCGATTAGTGTTAAAATATCTTTAAGGTACCAATGTTTTATCAAAAATAACCAACCTTAATCAAATCTAATTTATTATTTATGATTTGATTACAAAAAAACTAAGAGGTCGATTGGTAACGACTGTTACTTGTGGCTGTAGAGACTTTAACTTTAAAATTTTGGCTGCAGAGAATTTAGTTGTAGATGCTTTGGCTGTAGAAAGTTAATAAACAACTTATGCATGTTATTTTTATTATTATTATTTTATATTTATAATCAATATAATTTATATTATAAATGACTTTATAAAATAAAATTATTATTGAAATGGATCTTAAAAGAACAAGAAAAAAATGAGAGTAATTAATTTATAAAAATAAAATATATAAAATATATCTATAAACTTGTGAAAAGGTTTTAAATGTAATGGGGATATGAAAAATAAATCTTTTTAATTGATTAAATTTAAAGTCAGGTTTATGACGCTTAGAGAAAAATGAGAAAACAAAGAAGGAAAAAAAAGAATTGACTTTTAATGCTTTAAAAAAAATAAAAGCAAAAAATGTTGATTGGCAAATTAATTACTGTTAAGGCTTTAAAATCATTTTAAAGCCTTAAAAGTCATCACCAATCGCCCTCTAAGTTCACACGAAATAATAGTTTTATATAAATTAATTAAAAGGAAAAATTAAACTTAATTGAATAAAGAAACGACACACTATTTCGATTTATGATTATATATATTGTTTCATTAATAGACGTTTCATCTTCTTCCAACTCTGAATCTATTTGGCAAAATTGAAATCGATAAAACTCGTAAACACGGAGTCTCTTCTTCTACACTTTTCTTCAAAGAAAATCACGATATTCTACACGGCGTTTCAAAATGCGGAGAGATTGCATAGCCAATTTGAATCCGTCGAGGACTGATTGGAACATAGACGTGAAGATTTTGAGTATTGCTTACAGGAGAGATTTCATGACGAAGAGGGTTTTAATCCTTGCTGATCAAAGGGTAATTATCTTTCTTATTTACATATAGCATTTTTTTGTAACTTACATATAGTCATTGAATCGATTAGTTGAATGATTTACATATAGCAATTGAAGCAATACTTGATTATTGTGATCATGGTTGGACATAACGTTATAAGTAGATGAATTCTAAATGTAATTGCGCTAAACGCAATTCGTAAGAACTCTTGTGTTGGTAATTAAAACAAATCTATTATGGTTTAATTGTTATCAAACTTGAAAATATTAGTTTACATATCTTCTAAATAAATATAATCAATGCATGAAGATTTAATAGGCCGTTTTACATGTGTCATGAACTTGAGACGAC